AAACAATGTAACAGAAAGGAGGGCAGTCAGACCTCCTGCTCTCCGCCCTTTCCAGGCACTTTGGAAGGGTAGTCTTTCTCCTGGGAGAAAAACATTCAGAGCGACTCCCACTTCAGAAGGACCAGGGAAGAGTCCTGGTCGCCCTGAGTGATGGGGACCCGATGTATACAGGCATTAACAAGTGACCTCACCTTCCATAACCTGGGGTTCATCCTCGAGGGGGCAGGTCTTTTTGACAAGCGACCAGCTTTCTTGAGCTCGAGGATGTCTCTGTTCTTCGTGAAAGCCTCCCCTGGGGGGACTACCTTGGCCTGGCCCAGGAAAAGGAGGCTCAGCACAGACCGCCCACCAACTGCGACCATATGGGCGAGACCTGGGGCCGAAGCCTCCCCACACTGGGCCTCTGCTGCGGGGAGGAGGCGGGAGGCTGAGCAGTGGTGGAATCATCAGTCCCCTTGATCCCGGGGGACCTCTGCGAAGAGCTAGACAGAGAGAGAACCACGGAAAGGTGATCAATGGCCAACCTAATCCGAAGACGCCGATTTTTAAAAATTGAAGTACATTATACACACATACACAAAATACACCAATTTCAAGTGCACAACTCAATTATCACCAAAGACCAAAGTAAACACTTGTTTCTACCACCCAGGTGAAGGGATAGAACCTCAACACTCCAGAAGTCACCCTCCTTGTGGGCTCCAATTTGGGCTATAACTGAAATTGCTATGTACATTTTTATACATGTCTTTGTTAACATGTATGCATTTCTGTTGAGTATCTACCTGGCAGAGGTATTACTGGGTCCTAGAGTATATGTATGCTCAAGTTTAATAAAGTCAAACTTTCTCCAAAGTGGTTGTATCAGTTTATACCCCCACCAGCAGTTCTTGACAACACTGGGTATTGTCAATCTTTTTCATTTTTGGCATCTGCTGAGTGTGAAAAGTTTTTTCGTGTTTTTTTGTGGTAAAATGTGTGACATAAAACCTGCCATCTTATTTTTAAGTGTACATTTCAGTAGTGTTAAGTAAATTCACGATTGTGAAACCGATCTCCAGAACTTTTTTTCACCTTGCAAAACTGAAACTCTATAGCTACTAAACTCCCAGCCCCTGGCAACCACCTTTCTACTTTGTGTCTATGAATTTAACTGCTTCAGACACCTTATATCAGAGCAATCATATAGTATTTGTCTTTGTGTGACTGGCTTATTACATTTAGCATAATGGTCTCAAGATTCGTCCATGCTGGCATCTTACAGGATGTTTACTTTTGGGGCCACTGTATGAATATACCATATTTCGTTTAGTCAGCTGTCAGCAGACATTTGGGTTGCTTCCATCTCTTGGCTATTGTAGATGGTGCTGCTATGAACATGGGTGTGCAAGTATCTCTTCAAGATCCTGCTTTCCAGAAGTGGAACTGCTGGATCATGTGGTAGTTCTATTTTAAAATTTGTTTTAAAATATATTTTCATTGAATTCAGAGATGAAGGGAGTGGGAGATAGAAACATCAATGAGAGAGAATCATCGATTGGCTGCCTCCTGCACCCACCCCAACTGGGGGATCAAGCCCGCAACCCAGACATGTGCCCTGACCAAGAATGCAATCATGACCTCTTGGTTCACAGGTCAACGCTCAACCACTGAGCCACCCCAGCGGGGCATATTTTTAGTTTTTTGAGCAATCTCCATATTGTTTTCCATAGTGGCTACACCATTTTACAATCCCACTAACAGCGCTCTAGCATTTCAATGTCAAAGCGGCATGTTTTTATCTTGCATTTACTTGTCAACTAATGATGTTACTGTGCACGTTTTTGGCCGTTTAGATTTTGGTTTTAATGAGGTGGCTATTCAGTCCTTTGCCCACTTTTCCGACAGGTTGTCCCAAAGAGTTCTTTATGTTCTAGATATGAGTGCTTTATTGGTCACAGTTATTGCAAGCATCTCCTACTGTTCTCATTTCTTTTTTAAAAAAATATATATTTTATTGATTTTTTACAGAGAGGAAGGGAGAGGGGCAAAGAGTTAGAAACATCGATGAGAAACATCGATCAGCTGCCTCCTGCACACTCCCCACTGGGGATGTGCCTGCAACCAAGGTACATGCCCTTGACCGGAATCGACCTGGGACCCTTGAGTCCGCAGGCCGACGCCCTATCCGCTGGGCCAAACCGGTTAGGGCTGTTCTCATTTCTTAATGGTGTCATTTGATTAACAGAAGTTTATATTTGCTAATGTGGTACCGTTTACAAATCTTTCCTTTATGGTCAATGTGTGTTTCCTGTGTAAGAATGCTTATCTATTTTAAGACCGTGAGATAGATTTCCTAGAATTATTTCTTTACCTTTTACACTTAGATCGAGATTCCACTTGGAATCGATGTTTGTATGTGGTATGAACAGGTCAAATTTCATCTTCCCCATGAATACCAATTACTCCAGTCTCATTTGCTGGAAAGACCACTATTTCAGTTCCATCTTCATCATAAATGAAGTGTCCACAGATGCGTGGGCCGATGGGGCCCCAATGCTGTTCTGTTGACTTACACGCCTATCCTCGCGCCAACACCACATCGTAACTAGCGAAGAGCGAGCCTTGCCCTCCCACGTCAGGACTGGCTTTGCAATCTCTACCTCGATCCTTTGCATCGCCATACAATAATGCAGAATTCTTACTTCCACAAAGAAAAGGTATTGTAACTGGGAATGCATGGAGTCTATAATATTTGAGTTTTCCCATCCGTGAATACACAAAATCTCTTCACTTGGGTCCTGAATCCCGACCTTTTGGGTTTAGTCCCTCCCTCGCTCCCTTCTCCAGGACCTAATCAGAGGCCTGGGCCCCCTCCTCCTCACCTGACTTGGGGTCACCAGGCTTTCCATTGGCCATGGGGGGAGGGCCCAGAAGGCTGGGTGGTCCTGAGAGTAGACACAAACATGTGGTCATTATAATGAACTAAGGGGCTGACAACCTGCTCTTAGGTTTTGGTGGTATTATTCATTTTTCAATCCAACCAGTAAAACCGGGGAATTCGTAGCAGTGTTAGGAGTTTTCACCCCATCTATGTGCTCTTTGCTCTGCAAAAATTTTCGGGATCCACAAAAAGGGGAGACTCGGCCCAGGGGGACGATGCGGAGGGATTCCTGGTGCTCTCTCCCCGCACACGCAGGCACGCTCGCCCACACCCCGCGTCCGGCCACAGGGGCCGCCGGC